ACCTTTGTCTGCTTCTGTCTTAAGCCTATATAAATGAACATTGATTGAATATTTTCTTGGTTTCCTCGGGTTGGTTCTTCCCGTTCGTTTGTTGTCTTCTTTTGCTCGTGCCATTCTCTGACCTAGTTGTTCTTTATCCTTGTGCTTGTCGTAGAGTTTATTATATTCTTTTTCCGCTTTAGTTTTTTCTTTGTCTGTTTTTGCAATGGTGAGTTTCCTGATTAAATTGTCTGCTGTGGTGAATTGGGCAATCTTACGATCTGAATATAAGTTAATTATATTTTGAACTTGTGTTCTGGTGGCCTGGTTGATGCGGTTTCTTCTGTTGTTATAAAATGTTTGTAGTGCTTCTGTATTACGCTTAATGGCTTTGGACATATACTAATATAATTAAACTATATATTTATTTTCTTTTTAAGTATAACTTTTCCAAGGATTTTTTAAAAAACTAAATGTTTTTTAATATATAGAAATATGTCTAAAGATAAAAAATAATATATAGTATAGTATAATATGAGTAAAAACCCCGAGGATATGACAATGGATGAAATCAAAGAGCAACTCGCCATATACAGCAGATTGTATTACAACAAGCGCAGAAATGATGAAAAATATATGCAAAAGAAACGAGAATCTGCACTACGACACAATCAGAGAAAGAAGATCAAGGAGTATGAAGAAGCTAACAATATCAAACTGAACCCCAATGAGTTGACAGAAGAATTGCTATCTGAAATAATGAATGCAAAAAAGCCTTTTAAAGCAAAGCGCGGCACACCCAAATATGATATGAGCAAGTTCAAGATCATAAAGCCGATGGATGACGAATGATGATTTAATTTAATTATTAAATCATTTTTTCTTTGGTTTTTATATGAGTGAGAAACAAAAAATTATTAATGATGTGTATTTTGATCGCGCGGGGTTTGGTTCAAAAAGCCGGACTTTAGAAGAAGCACGGGAGAAAGATAAAACCATCACAATGTCTGATATTAACGAGTCTTTTAGGAAGAATGTTGATCAAAAGCGAAAGCTCGTCGGTTCAAACAGCTTTGTCGCCCAGCATTCAGCATATGAGTATCAGACGGATTTGTTTTTTTATCAACGACTTGAAGGATCAAAAATTTAGAGTAGGAATGTTAATGATTGATATATTTGATAAGTTTATGCATGTCGTGGCAATTAAAGGTAAGAAGGAAGAAGATTTAGCGAGTGGGATGATTGAATGCTTACATAAAATGGGGAAGAAGCCCAAACTAATTTATACCGACGACGAGGGAGCAATGAACACGGAGGCAATACAAAAGTATTTACAGGAACAGAACATAGAACACTATAGAACTAGGGCGCATCCAAATTTTAGCGACAGAGCTATTAGGACGTTCAAAGATTTATTATATCGTCGTGTTGAAGCCGATCAGAAAAAGGGTAAGAACAATATTCAGTGGCCGGAATATATTTTTGAAATATTATTAACATATAACAATAAAATGAAACATTCCGCGACAGGATTCACCCCAAAGGATGCCAGAAAACCGAGCAACGAATTAAAAGTTAAACTGCATTTAAATATGAATGCTAAACGAAATCGGGTATATCCTGATCTAGGTGTCGGGGATGAAGTTAAAATATTTAGGAAGCGGAAACCCAATGAAAAAGAGAGAGTGGGCAATTTTAGCCAAAATGTTTATACCATAGAAAGAATTGATGAAAAACTGGGTCAAAAATATTATTATGTATCAGGGAATGATAGGGCTTATTTACGCTTTGAGTTGTTAAAAGTTTAGTTTTTCTTTTGATAAAAATTTTCTTAAGAAAACACTTAAAGAAATAACACCTATATAGATTAACAGGGACATGTTCAATCGGAAAGAACAGGATGAAATCATAAATGATTTTTTGGATGTTATCAAGGTTCGCGATTACACCAGGGAAAGTAGGGAAAAGCGGACTAAATGTAAATGCCAGGATTGTAAGAAACATCAGCATTATTGCACGTTATACGTATTGCCACTACCAGAAAATATTATTAACAATATCTATGGCTTTACTTATCGGTGTTGGAAATGCGAACAGACCATGAAAAAAGAGGAAGCATTAAAAGAACGACTGGAAACGAATGATTTATGCTTATTTGGTGTTGATAAGCTTATTTTAAGCTTGGATCGTTTGTTTCCACTTTATGATTCAGTCAAACATGTGATTACAAACATAACTATGAAGAGATACAACATGTTTAAGAAATTGTTTAATGAAATGATGTATTGTAGAGACAAAGAAAAAACACAAACGTGGATACAGTACAAAATGAAATACAATGTTAATGCTACAACATATGATTTCAACAAAACCGTTAGAACGCTATTGAATAATCCTGAGTTTGACTTAATGGATTGAACAAGCATAACATTATTAGTATTATAATGTTCTGGTTTATACCATCCTAAACCCAAAAAGTTCACTACACCCGAGTTGTCAAACTTAATTTTGGTGTTTTTGTGTGTTCTGCTTGTTTGTGTATGGTTTTGTTCCGAAGTTGTTTGTTGCGTTGTGGTGTGTCTCTTGCTGTTAACTACTTGTGTGAAGCTATTTTGCAGTAGCTTGACTTGCAGTATTTCGACTTAAACTCGTCTAAACGAGAGAAGCCTTCATGTGTATACATACACGAACTGCCTAAGAGGCTGGTAGTGGTAGAGGCTCGATGCAGCGGCGGCGGAATCCTCACAGCAGGCATGGGAGCAAATGTGTAAAGAACGGCTTCGGGTCTCACTTCGCAAGCACTCGCGCATGGGACTTTGGCATATCTCTCATTGTCTGTCGGGTCTCTGGCGGCTGGTAGAGATTCCTGTAAACTACACATGCGATCATCAACCGAGAACACAAAAGCTGCGTTGGCCTGTCTGCCGACGGCTCTGCGCTAGCACAATAAAGGCTTTGCATTGCACGGTTCGGTTGTTGAACGCACATCGCGCACGTGACACTTCTGGATCCGGTACATGTGCTTGGATAGAGCTTGTGTCTACCTCAATCTGATTGTTCGTCGCCCTGCTCATCGAAGAGCTGCCTGAGCTGCTCCGGTTGCAGCCCCATCTTTGCTGCCTTTCTAGTCAAACGATCCCGCTCCTCCGCCCTGCCCTCCGCCTTGCCCTCCGCCTTCCAAGATTGAACCACCTGGTCTTTCCAGTGTACGATGGTCACATTGAAGGAAGAAGTTTGGACATCCTGCTGAGCCCTGCGGAAGGCCTGGTCGGGGCCATTCACAACGATAACAAGCACGACTTGAAATCGTGTCCTCCAGTGGTCGAACAGGGCCAATCTTGCTTTGAGCTGCTTCAGCTTAGCCTTGAGTTGTCCAGCAGGTCGGGACACTTCGGCCACGATCAAGCGGGGCTCGGTATGAGACCCCCACACCTGTGTGTGAGCATCAGTCCAGCCTCCTGGTCCAAGCATGAAGACTTCCCAATCATCTGCGCTTGGATACGGCTCGACAGGCGCGACAGATGCCTCTGTTGCAGGTACAACAAAGACTGCATCCAATTCCGTGTTCGAATCCCCAAAATGGGATGGGATCACCCCGAATGCTTCCAAGAAGGTGTTGGGAGCCTCAAACTCGAAACCGCAGATTTGTTGGAGGTTGAAGGCTTTGGCCAAAACTTTGCGGCACGCTTGTTCGTAGTCCTTCTCCAATTGCTGCTTTGCTTTTTTGCCCACGTAACGATCTGCAACAAACGGGCGTGCCGTCGCCGAAGTCTGCTCTGGCTCGGCGCTTCCGGTGGAGCTGAACACAAAGCCTGGGATAGCGAATGCCAACCCAAACGCGACACAAAGCCACTTGCCAGACCCCATTGCTCCAAGGCAGAGGGGCACTTGGGAAGCCTCACGAGACTTGGGCGGGAAAACAGCTTGAGTCAGATGCAACGAACCCAACTTCAGTTTTCGCCGAGAGGTCCCGGTGTTGTAGAAGCTCTAGGTGGTTCTAAGCGCAGGCCTACCAGTGGACAACTAACTCCAAACATGAGTCCTCGTCACCGCCGGATCTTGGTTGTACATGTTGTGGAGGACGTAACTCCACGAATCCTGACCTATTGGGTTTGGAATGTTGGGGTTGAGATACCTACGGTGGGGGGTGGGGGGGGTAGCATTGCTGACTGGAAGATAGCCACCTTGCTTAACCGAAAACGCTGAAACAAATTCTACAAGAAACCCCTTGCCCCTTTTGAGTAATAATGCCACCTTAGAGATAATAGATGGGGTAATGGTTATTCCTAGAATTGTGTTGATAATGGGGTAGTAGTAGTGATATATCGGTGAAGTGTAGGGGGGACCCTAGGAATGATCATCTAATGGGTTGACGGTGGCATTATTACCCAAAAGGGGCAAAGGGGTGTCTGACTGAGGAGAGTTCATGAAAGTTCTTTCAGAGTCTTCTGGCTGTTGCTTACCGAAGGCCCATACATCCTACAATCCTACAGTAAGGAGGCTTGATGCACGAAGCTTGGGTACTTGTAGCTGGCAGACGCTGGCAATCTCACCCAAACCGAACAGAGAGCCTTCTTGACACCGTGTGCGGCTCATTTCTGCCCACCCAAACTTAGTGGAAACATGTTCTTCAACTCGACTCTGTGTGCGACTTTTCCTGCCTTCTGCGCCCGGTCACGGCCTCAAGGCCGATCTGATCTTAGCCACCGGTACCCTCCGCGCAGCCAACACAGTGGTGTTGCACCACTGGCTTCTTCGAGCCTTGCCTGGAACTCCTGGCACGAGCTAGAGCCAGAAAATCGGGAATCGGGATCTACTCCAAGCATCTGCATCCTGCTCAGGAAAGCCGCGCAGGCGATTTGGCCGTGGCGCTTGGGCTTGGTACTATCATCTCCGAAATCATGTTGTACAGATGGGCCGCCATAGCTTCGCAGCCACGGAGCCAAACTCTCGTGCCAAAGCACAGGTATAAGCACACTGTTGCAGAAGCTCTTGTTCACTTCCTCTCCAAAGGCAGCCAGCTAGGCACGCGCCACTGGCCTGCAATGCAGGCGCGTATGCGCAGCGGAAGCCTCCTACAGAAATCCTGACGGCATTCAGAGAGTTTAGTGTAGCTCTGATAGCTACCAGACTGAATAGTAGCTAAAGATACTTTGACCGGCCTTATAAGCACAGAGCGTTTTGCGAAAGAATCAGCATCAGTGTCCCAAACAGCCTTGGATTGGATATAGGAGCTCGAGATCTAATTAAGCCGCACTGAAGCTGCGACCTACCATCCGACTCGGCCAAGGAAGACACTAAGTCGTGCACCCACTGCTGCGGCTTTGGATCACCATCCACAGCCTTCCAGGTTATGCTGCTTCATGCCGCTGCGACAACGTCGCGAAATTTGCCGCTGAGCTTGAGATCTTGAGTGAAAGTGAGTCCGGGGCACGTCCCCATGGAGGGTCCTCACGACCTGTATAGCGAGGTGGAGATCAACGGGCGTCATCGTTGCAGGTACGAGGTCGCCACTCCCATCAAAGAAAGCTGTGGTTGCACCTGCCGTCTCGATGTGTCGACATCTGCTTGTGTCTGCCAGCCGATTCGTGGGTACTCTCAATATGCTTGCTGAACTTCAGGACTTCATATGACTTCATCAGCCCAGCTGAATCTGTGAGGAAGGCGTGCCTTTCTCGCTCAGCGCGCCAGCAATCTTCCAATCACTGAAGAACCGGCTCCAGAAGAGGTAGAAGCCTGGCGATGGTGAATATGCTGCTGATGCCGAGACATGCTGTACCCGGTCATCATGAGCTCAATTGATGCCAGTCTCCTAAAGTATGAGTTTGATGCTACCTCATCTTCTAGCCGAGTCTAGTCTAGCCATGATACTTCAAGCGCTGCCTGTGTGTGGCTGAGGTGCCGGCGGAGTTTCGTATGCGCAAAGGCCGGTGCAGCCTCGATCGAAGGCAGCGGCTTGACTTGACCGACTTCATGTGCGCAGCCGATTGGATGCCATCGCCGCACCAAACACCTCAACGATTCAACTACGGCAAGTACGTTGAAGTCGACGGTGCGGTAGTAGAAGCCTCAACCAACGGCAACAAGTAGCCCTACAGCTGAACCTCTCTTGGACAAACTCGTTGAGAAAGGGTTCTTCACTGTGCAGGCATGTTCGTCCTTTCCTTCGATTTCAGGTAGGGGTCCCTTCGATTGTGGACTATTGGGGTCATGACATACTCTTGATGGCACAGGAGTCGAATGGGAGTCGCATGCACGGCCGAGGTGCCGCAGAATGACAAGCCTGGGCGTTCGTGCCAGGGCCCATGACCTGGAAGGGTCAGTGGCTTGCCGGCGCAGCACCCAATTACACAAAGGAGCCCTTGCTGGCTTGCATGGGAACCCCTGCAAACACACGATTGAAATCCGTATCGCCTGTTTGCCCACCATTCCTTACATGCTTACAAGGGAAACCGCGCGCCCTCGTTGGCATGGCTGGGATGCACGATGATGCACGTCTAGGCCCCGCATGACCAGTGGTTTTCGGTGGTAGCGGTTTTCATTGTACGACCAAGGTCCTGGCGCCGTCAGAGGTCCTATTCACATTCGGTGGTCGAAATCGCGCGCTCCCACATAGGCCCCGTAAAGCTTCTGATGCTCAGGTCGCTCGTTGACAAGAAATCGTGGTGGAGGCGTGCTTTCCTTGCTTTCCTGCCTCTCTGTCTCGTGGATGGGTTCGCTTCACATGTCCACTGATACGAGTACGGTCTATGTTGGCAAACAGATTCTCGCGGATAAGGGACGAAGAAAGGGCACGGATAGGTACTGACTGCAGCCATCATAGACTCGTATGGGTTTCGGGATGTTTCGGGCCCCGGTGTCTTAAGTAGTGTGGTATCGGTGCCTTAGCAGTTGCAGAAGGGCTACGAGTTGATGGCTGAAGTGTGAGATCCGCGCATGCTGATTGAACACACGAAGGCTCTCTGGAGTTGCGTACGCTGCGCATGCTTGGGCCTTTACCCGGATCTTGTCGGCAAGTGCCCTGTATCGCGGCATCCATTGCCGTGGGCGTCTAGACATGCTTCCGAGCTGCCAGTAGGTCAACCCTCTCATTTGTTGTAATGAACCGTGCAATGCATGGCTGGTTTCGGGGCCTTCCTTCGGATTCCACATACACAGCATTGCATAAGTGCTTGTCCTCGTGTCAAGGCTAGGATTGTATGGAGCTTCCTTTCACGCCGCAGAAACTCCCAAAAGTATACCTTCGAGGATCCAGCTGCGATTGCGTGACGTTGCTTTCTGAGTCCATTCACATCCCCCAGTTGCATCCTGCGCCCTTTGCTGAGCCCCGAAACTATTGGTACATTCAAGTCTTCTTCCAGCGGCCTGCGGCCGCCGCGGTGGCCCAGAGGAAGGGTGGTAGCGGCGAGGCGGTGAGGGCCAGTTCCACGCGTACCTTTTTGGGATTTTGCAGAAGAGTAATGTAAGGTTTCCGGCACGCTAAGCAGGACTGTCACTGCTTGTGATGCTTTCTCTTTGAAGTGGCCCACCGACTAGAAGGATTTGACAATTACTTCCAGCTTTCGGGCCATTTAGCCCACAGGCCAACCTAGCAGAAATGTGTCGAGCTGCTGAGTTCTGCGAAGAAACGAGCAAAAAAGTACAAAGGAACCGAAGCCTACTGGAAGGAAATGAACGGGAGTCAAGGTATTAAAGTTAAAGGCACCTCACCTGCCTGAGAAGGTGAGGGGTGGAAGGTGGGAATGCCTCGAGTCGGTCAGGAGCCGAGACAGCCAGGGTGGTAGCCCCGGTCGAGCGTGCAGAGGCCCAGCGTGCCTCAGTGCGGAGAGGAGTCGAACGACATGATTTATAGTTTGCAGCACTCGGCAACGTCGTATTGCTGTGCTCTCAGGAGCATGTGGCTCTTGTTTTGTTCCGATCTTTGCGACTCTAAATAAACGTACAACTTGACACCTCCTCAGCGGCACACTGGATGGGAGTGCTCGTGAACAGGCAGCCTTCATCAAGCTATCAAGTGGGCTCCGATCAGCCAAGCTTCTACTGGCTGAGCATTTGCTCAGGATGGGAGCCATGGGTGCGACTAGTGCGACGCCAAACCCTTCGCCATCGCGGCAATGCGAGAGTCGCTGTATCCCGAATCCCGGGTGCGCTGGATAATGGGCTTCAGCTGTCGCACTCGCTCCTGGAACTGTACAAAGTCTTCATTCCTCGGCTGCGCGACCATGCGATCGGCAGCAAATACGCTAACAGTACCCTCGCTGTCTCCCGCTGCAAGCTTCCGCCCGTCTGTGGACCAGTAGCACTTGTTCAAAGCCAGCCTCCGCCCGTTGGGATTTTCACATCGCAGAACCGGCAACTCGATGTTTTTGTTTAGATTCCAAAGGTCGACATGCCCCTCGCCGTCGGTGGAGGCAAAAACCGCAGGATGCGTGGGATGCCATCTCACGTCGTAAACGTAGTCCTCGAAAGTATCCAGGGACAACACAGGAGCTTGAAACTGCTTGACCCTCCAAAGCTTGATACTCCAATCGAAGGAGCTTGTCAAGCACAAGTCCGTCGTGGTGTCCGCAGAAATGCCAGAATCGTTTCCTTGATGGGGATGCATGTGAACACCAGTTACTGGACCGTCATGCCCGTCGTAGAGTTCGGTGATCCCGGTCTTGGTGCCACGAAGATTGACTTGCCACATGGCACCATCCTCGGACCCCACATACAAGACATTTGTCTCGTTTTCTGGGAAGGACAGGGACATCACCGACGGCTCCCTTCGGGTTTTGCTCTCATGCTTCAGATCCACGGTTTCCTGCGGCTGGTTCAGCATGGCCAGTGACCACACGCAGAGCCGACCGTCATTCGAAGCGGTAACTAAGTTTGTTGCATTTTGAGTGCCCACTTGCTCCATCGCTGAAACGGGGTGGGCGTGTCCTTTCCCACTCAAAGGCGTCTTCAGCACTGGACCGGCCTTTTGCCTTGTGTCCCAGAGAACAATGGCGCCCGAGTAGGTGCCTCCGTAAAACAGCGCCGGATCAAACCTGTGGGGAATTGCGGTCAGGACGGCGCTCGGTGCCGAGAAGGTGACTTCGGGCCGGCTTTTCATGGCCAAATTCCACACCAACATGCAGCCATCTGGATCTGACAGCTCAGGGTTCCCTTTCTGGTGGTAAGAAGCAATAAAGATCTCCTTGTTATGTGGCGAGAAGCGCAGGTCCGTCACAGGACGGCCCCGTGACCACTTTTCTTCGACATAGTCGTCCACGTGCTTCAATGCATCTGCAGCCCCCCCTTCACCATCAACACCCTCGGCCGAGGTATTCTTGAAGTCCAGGGCTAAGTCCCAAGTCTCCTGGCCCAGCACCCTCTCCACCAGCAGGGTCGCCCGCTCAAAGAAGGCGACGTAGTCTGGATGGGTCTCGATCTTTTTACGCTCCTCTGGGCTTAGCTCCTTCACTTCCGGCTTCTCTTCTGGTTTGGCCTCGGTTGCAGCTCGCTTTACGCGGCGCTCTTCCTGAGTCATGGCCGTTGTCCCAGAGACAACACGGTTCTTGGCTCTGTCAGCCATCTTCATGAGGATGGAGGTGGAGGACTTGGTGATCTGCTTTGGCCCCCCACCACCTTCACCTGTCCCGACCTCGCTTCCTTTGAGGTCAGTCTGGCAAGATCGGTCGTACGACTCATGCCCAGCAGGCTCGACATCCACTGTCGCAACGGAGGTCTCCTGCTGGAAATTGAGACTCCTCTCCCCGGCTCCAGGTGGTGACGCCCGGCTCTTTTCGCTGAGCTCCTTCAAAGGTCCTTCAGGCGACGCTCGCGGTGCCGTCGTGCTCCCGGCGGCACCGAGGATTTCAGCGACAAGGCTGTCCACATTGCTTGCGAGAGGAGCCTCCCCTTGGGACTTCTGCTGCGCTTGGCGCTCACTGCGCTTCTTGCGCAATTCCTCCACCTGCTTTCGCTTCTCAGCAATTTGACGAATCTTCTCTTCCCGCTCTCGCCTGAGAGCTTCGATTTCTGCCTCCATGATGTGCAAGGATTTGGGAGGCTATGGCAACGTGATCAGTCCCGAGCAGTGCTGCATAAAGGATACAGGGGACTGCGCTGTGCGGTGTTGCTAGTGGGGTTATGCAGTGAGTACAGGAATAGCCACGTGATTCTACAGAGCTGGTCAGGAGGGAAGAATCAACAGTAGCAGATACAGCCTTGTCCTACCTGGTGACATCGAGAAAGAGATTTCAGCTTGAGCCCTTGCCTTGAGATAGTGGATGTGAGTGGACGTGTGCACGCATTAGGCGAGGCTCGAGGCGATGAGTGCAAGGACTGAAGGGCTGAGGGCCGCACTCCGCCGGTGTTTCCCGCAGCTCTGGGCCCTGACATGAAAAAAAGGGCGCTTGTGGGCTTCGGACTGCAGCTTGAGCGACGGGGCTGTTTCTGCATGAGCTCTCAGATGGAAACCCTGAACAGCCGAACAGAAAAACCTGCACTGTCCGAGTCGATGCAGCTTCTCTAGGCAGACAGCTTGGCCCACGCATCTTCTGACCAGAGTTCGACACATGACACAACCTGTGCATTTGTGCTGGTAAGCCGAGCCGAACGTCAGCTGACCGCAACTGAGCAGTGTCTGCAGTCTGCGGCGGCCTCGTCGTTGAGCAGCCCGCACACGTTTGGCCTGCACCGCCTCCTTGAACCAGGTCAGCTGAACCAAGATCTCTGCTTCACAGGGGCTTCTAAGCAAAAAAGGGTGGCTGATCTGTCTTATCTTCATGTACCCTGTCATTCTCAGCAGCAGCAGCAGCAGCAGCAGCAGCAGCAGCAGCAGCAGCAGCAGCAGCAGCAGCAGCAGCAGCAGCAGCAGCAGCAGTCGTCTTTCTAGTGAAACCTCTTGAAAATTCGTGTTTCTTGGCCCTTGACCTCAGCCTGAGAGATTGCATGGCCTTTGAAGCATGACAGCAAAAATCTGAACGCCACCTTTGAACCGTCTTGAAACGGAGCACAATCAGCCGTCCTGCACGTCAAGGGAATCCAGGGAGGTTTGCTCATCCTGCCCTGCAGTGCGGATCGGTGCAGATCGAGAGCGTAGCAACAGAGCTCTCGCAATCGCAAAAGCGTCCCGGGACACAAGATCACGTTACGGCGACGTGCTGCGAACTTTAACAGCCCTGAATCACTAAAAGGTTCTTGTTTCCTAAAGGCTGAAGCAGTCCTACATTGATCCTGCTTTCTGAGATTCCACCCATTGGGCCTGAATCCGAAGTCTCGCAGTAATCGAGCAAGAGCTCATAGCAGCGGCGCAGCCTCAGCCAATGGAGGAGACTCTGGTTGGAGAGGAGTGACTCTCTCAAGCGGTCCCTAAACCCTAAACCCTAAACCCTAAGCCCTAAACCCTAAACTCTACCCGACTCCGCGCATTCAGCGCTCGGCTCGGCGAAGTCTCCTTTGCCAAGGCCGTCGGGATGATGCTTCCAGGCTGCCTGGGTGTGGTCTAGTTTAGAAATCTCCTTGCGGGTTAAGCTTCTGGCATAAGTGTATAAGGCGGCGCTTCGCTGTTAGTGATAGTTTCGAGCCACATGTTCAGCCCTTGCTGAGTCGGCTTGTTGCTCCTGCCTAGAACAGTAGTGGAATGTAGTGGAGCTGCCAACGAGCGAGAGACAACCGATGAAAACCGGAGACCTCCGGGGTTTGTTGGAAGTCATGTGCCGAAGGAGCAGCCAGAGAATACCCTTGCAGGGTGCCTACTGGCCGCGTCAAGTACACGGGCGAGCCAACGTCTTCTATGTCCCCTCTTCTGCTGAGCGAGGTGCTGCAAGGAAGGCCCGGCGAAGCGCCTGACGAGTGACCCGGTGGCCCACGCCCAGCAGCCGGCGGCAGGCATCGCAGCCTCTTCTGAGGTTCTTGCTGCCACCGAATGCCGCCAAGGTACGACACAAGCTCGAATCGCAATGATACCCGCAAGTTCATACAGCGTCATGTCGTGCCCCATTAGTGCATCGCCAGGGCGGATGGGCACTGTTCGCTCTCATGCTGAGATTTTGCCATGTTCGGCTTGGCTGGGGCTACCACCTCCGTTGGACTTTGCCGTGCCAGACAGACGCCGGGCCGTCAAAGCCTGTCGCACGATTGGCATGAACCGTTGGTCAATCATAGAACTCGAGAATGCTTCTGTGAGAATCAAATGCTGGTGTGGAATAGCGTGGAACCGACACAGCAGGTCTGGACAGTCGCCCCGTTGCTGGAAGCTTTTGTATAGCGCCTCCATGTGAAGCAGCCGGGCAAAGCCTAGCTGACGAACAAAACAGCAGCTGCCCTTCCAGAGTAAGGTATGGTTCTGACGGCAATAATCGCCAAGAATGCCATGTCTTTCGTACAAGCCGTCCCGATTCTTCCCGCACCTCCTTTGACTGAACGGGCCGGTTGCATAGCATTGATGGCTGTGCATGCAGGCAGCTGGCTGACATGCTGCGCATCGTAGACCCCCCGAGCTCAAATTCCCAAACCCCCCAAAGTCCCCCCAAAGTCCAAAGTGGTCTTACAATAAACCCAAGCTCACCCTCTTGGATTCTTCTGCTGCCGCTGCCAAGCCATGAATGGCGTTATATTACAGTACGTGGAGAGAAAACGGAGACATGTCTAGCTCTTAAGATCCTGATCCTTGAACAGGAGCTTGCTTGACTGGAACGCCGCAGCCCAACGGGAACTGCACATGCAGGACTTGCAGAAAAAAATCAGCTGCTGGCCAGTGTGACAGCAAAGCTGTCTAGTGATCAGCAGCTCGTGGAGAGACGTAACAGCGAAGCTCTGCAACCCACAGGTCTTAGTCTTAGATAAGTTTTTCAGGGAAGTGCAAGATGGCAAGGTGGCAAGGAGCAAGAAAGAAGCAAGGGCCTCTTTTGCGCTGCGCCCTTAGCTCTCGTCGCGTCCAGCAAAGTTCACCTGCAAGCAAGTTGGCTTGATCTCTGCCTCTTTGCGATCCTTGATTGCAGTGGCCTGCAGCGGCCGCCCAATGATGCCAGCGCATCGCCCACTCGAGTTGAGGCCTCAGAGGCAGGGGATAGGCAGCAGACCTTGATAAGTTGATCATGGCAAAGGAAGCGCAAAGAGAGCACCATGAGAGCACAGGAGTAAGAACAGTTTCGCAAGCAATGACAGCTCGCTTTGAATCGAGAGCCAATAGCTGAACAGGGCTTGACTAGCGACTGCGTTTCTACAAGACAGGCTCGATTGAGGTGAGAGCTTGGATCTGCACCGCATCGGCAAGCAATCCCAACCCTGAGACGCAACAGTATACATGTCATCAACTTGCAACTCCCTGCGCGTCTCGCTTCGGCAACGCGTAGCGCGCCCAGCTATGGCTAAAGGACAGGTCGGGGTCAGGACATGATGCGCGAGAGAACATACAAGTAATGCTGCCTCTCCGCTCCCAGCACTTCATACAGGAGCCAAACCTCAACACACGCGCATCTGCTCAATGGCAACATGGCCATGACATCCAACAAGCTGGACCCATGTCCAGGCAACTCAGTGAGGCTAGCAGTGCCAAGCAGCTGGGTCCGGGATCGCCCGGTATGTGGTCGCTTCAGAGAAGCGCTTGCCCGACTCCAAGAACCTGTTGCTGCGGCCCAGCACTTGCAACTTGCAACTCAAAGCGCCGCGACTCTGAATTTGACCCTAATTATGTTGCACCCTGCAACATGTGCAACGAGCGTAAAAAGGTGACTGATTGTCACACCGGGCGCACCTTGCCAGCGCCTCCGAGTCCAGGAGCCCCGCCAAGAAGCTGTGAGGCCGCCTCTTGCCCGGGTGCTTTCGTACCAAGAAACTGCACTGAAACTTGCCAATAGCTTGCACGACTACGGACCCACACTCTCTCCCCACAGCGCCTCCGCAAGCCTGGGCGCCCGCGAGCTTCCTGCTTTCGGGATGCACGTGGGAAATTGGCAGGGCTGGGCAGTTGTTGCGCTGGAGCGCTGCATCCTGAGAAGGGTGAGGTATCAACAATGAAGCACGACACCATCAACACACACACACATCCTAAGTGTCTCGGGTATCCTCGCTGCCAAGCCCTTGATTCCTATTTTGGGCTTTTTCGCGCAAAAAGGCCGTTGTTGCAAGACGCCGCCAGTGACTTCTGGGACAGTGGGACCTTCAGGAAACTGGAGCCCCCTCCGATAGTGGTAGGTTGCCTTTCAGGTTCAGGTTTGGGCTGACACTTTGGCAATTTCTAAGCCTCATCCCTGATTGATTCCAGGCTTGTTTCCTCGCAACCACCTTGGGAAACATCTCCGGAGGCCTACATCAGTTGAGTCATGCCATTGAAGAACGCAACATGCTCTTGCTGTTTACGGATGTAAGAGGTCAGAAAAAAACCCTGTCCAAGTAGCTGAATGCATTCGAGTGCCTTGCGGGTCCGGCCAATTCCACTCAACTTTGAAACTCTGTGATGAGGCTAGTTGATTTGTGACGGGTTGACTTTGTTGAAATCTTTTGAGGCACTTGATCAGCACTTTTTGGTGGGGGGGTCATTTTTGGTCGGGAGCCAGGGAAAGCGTTTTAAGGGAGCGGACGGGGGGACAAAATACCCCCCGGCCCCCCGCCCCCTAGCAGGCCGGGCATTTTCGGGAGAAGTGATGCCCAATATTCTCGGGGGCCAGTCGTCGCGTTAGCCCTTTGGCGGTCACGGATCTCTGCCAGACAGGGACCTCCCACGACCCGTGTGGCTTTGGGAAGCTCCGAACCTCCAGTGACCTTTGCGAGGGAGGAGCACATCCAGGCACCCCAAACTCTGAATTGCAGGAAGCCCCCCTACGGTAAACGTGCACACCACACTCGAAAACCTCGATGCGCGCAAGCGCTGTACCGTCTAAGACAGTCTGGCAGTCCACGATGCTCCACAATCCCATTCCGGTGGCCTTCAGAGCTTCGGCCACCAGCTGGACGGCCTCCGAGTCGCCTTCGCCCGGCTCGGGGTCCGAGAGCTGCAAGGCCTGAGACCCCGAGGCTCTTGCGCTCCACCATGGTCAGCTCTATGAATTCTGGCCCCTCGGGCCGTGAGCTTGTATTTCTGCAGCGTTGGGGTCTATACTAGGGTGGGGTGCTTGCCTCACAAAACATACTTGACTTGGGGTTTCACGTTTGGTATGGGTGTTTACCAGGGCATATTTTGGGCTGCTTCTGATTCTGAATCAGCATGACGATGTGCGATGCAACATGCAGGCAGGTCTTTGTCACTTGGATCAAATTGCCAAAGCTCGGCCTGCAAGTGTGGCAGATCTGACGTGTAGGCCGCAACTGCCTCCTGAACGGAATGAAGCTCTGCTTGCAGGGCATTGATTGCCGGATTGCACATGAGCATGCTGAAAACTATCAAAAGCAGCCTTGCGGATGTCGTCCAGCGTCGCAGGGTCATGGTACCAGCCTCACTGGCAAGAGTGGCTGTGTGCACCCGGAGCAGGGAGCGAGAGAGAAAGCCTACCAGCCCTTCATCTCTCCGAGGTTCCGTAATCGACGGAGAGCTGCTCCCCAGCTTCGATGGCCCGCAGGGTAGTCTTGGTAGTTGTGCTCAAGAGTTGGAGTGCTACAGCAGCATTTGCAGGGGAACTGGTCTTGGCTGAGAGACATGTGAAATTTCGGCCTGCCTGAGCCTAGGGAGATTGTGTCCAGCCCAACACCATCCAAACCCTGAGCGGAAGATCTGCAACCAGGGAGCTACCTGCAGCCGCCCGTGGGGCTCTCTCGGTGCACTTACCTTCGATCAATCTCTCGGGAAGAACCGTTCGCTTCAGCAGAATCAAACATTGACATACATCTTTTGTCGAATTTCATACCTGGATCTTTGAGACCATATGCTTTGGTACGCATTCTCGTTTGCCACGCTTGTCCAGATGCCCTCTCGTCCGAGCTACGCTCTTGAAGCTGCAGTTTGGCTTGCAGCTGCAGTTGATAAAACCTGAGCTGATGGCGTGATTCGTGGCAGTCGGTCAGGGGCATCTTTGCTGAACGCTTTGATGTGTCTACACACCTGAACCTTTGCAAGGACGCGGAGCGCATGAGGTTGCCCTTGTGGTAAGCATCGATGACCACGCCTTTTTCAGCGAGTCCTGAGCCTGCCGCTGCCATGACAGCACCATTAACATCCAACCACTTACAAGTGACCCTGGGCCTGCCCAGGCAGCATAGAGTTCCTGCAAATGGCGCAGAGGGCATCCGAGGATCCCAAAGGCAACTTGACGAAGCCTGACCGAACCCTTCATTGATTCCTCGCGGATGAAGGGCGAGGAAGCGTCTGAGTTTCGGCGCCGTATTTTCAGCGCCTCAAAGACAAGCAGAGCAGCAAAGGGTCCAGCCAGGAAAAGTCATTTTGACGAATCTGCAACGGAGTACCTGTTCTCTCACGCAAAAGCTGCTGGCCTTTATTTCCTCACACCAGATGTCATAACTTCGGATCTCTCCCGTGTACTCTCCTCGGTGCAGAGATCTTCAATATTCAATCGCTTTCCCAACGACTACACAATACTCCACACAAGGCACATGACATGAGTTCAGTGATCCGGTGCGCTTGCGCGTTGCCCACCGAAGCTACTGGGGTCGGGCGACCCCTCTGTTCATGACTCGTAACTCTAGGCCTATGCCACAAGTCCTTGCTTTAACGCTCGCCTCCATTGCCCTGCCTGTTCGTCATTCCAACCTTTCCCAACTTTCTGTACCTTCCCTCCTCCGACACTCATTTCAGGCCTTCTCTTGCCTCCAAGGTGTTTCACGAACAAATTGGCACCACTCTCAAAGGCAGCTCGCGTCCAGGACCATCGTTTCAAAAGCGGAAGCATCTCAAAGCCCAGCGGCCAAGCCGCTCGTTTGAAGAGATCCTGGTTGTGGCCTCGAGGCAAAGGGGCTAACAGGAGTTAGCCGAGGCGACAAAACCAGTTCACACACCGCACGCACAGCAATATGAGCACCTGTCATGTGCAACTATTCCTCGTTTTTTCCTGGCCCTGGCCAGTGCTTCGGTTACCACGGTGGTTCCACTGCGCTTAATCACGAGTTTCCCTTGTCTAGCAGAGATGGAAGCCTCCATGCCCCGATTTTGAATATGAGATCCCTGCTTGATTTTCCCAGAAAGCCCAACGACGTTTCAAAGCATGTCGCACAGCTTCAGCAAGACATGAGACGCGCAAAATATCCAAACAAATTGTCCTCGGGTAGAATAAACCCATGCGCAAACTTACACCGACACGCAGGGTTTTAGCTTAACTACGCAGCACCCCTTCCACAAAAACAGCCTACGCAAACCTGCGCGAAATGTGCTGCGTCCACATATCCTTCAAAGACAACCCCAAAAAATATGATTTAACATTAGGTTTTAACCTACCTAAACCTTTGAATCCCCCAAGCCCTAGACCCTAGTCGTGAAGGAGCCGGGAGACCAGAAACTTGCGCGAAACCTGCCTGTTGCTTACGCAAAACCTACGCAATGTCCAAGGTTCGGGATGAGGGGAAGCTTGAGTTTTCAGTTTAGGGATAGACTTTAGGGTTAGGCCATAAATGCCTTCAAGCCATCAATGTGGCAAACCTATGCAAACCTACGCGGAGGAAAAACCACTGCAGAGCTTGTGCAAACCTACGAGCTCGAGGCAGAATCCTCTTAAACACCTTCTTCGCGGCATGGGGGAAGCTGGCAAAAACACAGCTGCCTCTTGTAGCCAAGCTGCGAAGACCCCGAAGCCGCACGGCCCGGCTGGTGCTACGACCAGCTTGGGTGAGGCATCCGGAAGGCGCACCTTGCAACAACCCCGGGGAGCTTCGGGGGGGCTTCTCTCGCCTCTCACACGAGTCATCCTCAGAGTCCGAGCGGCGAAGGTAGCGGTCCGTTGCAGCCCTGTCAGGGCAAGTTGGTCACTTTGAACAAGTGTGATCTTATCTGGAAAGACCTGCTACCTGCTTGAGTGGTGTCTTAAATTTCGGGCTGTGCCTCAGAGCAGCATCGTTCTGAACAACTTGACACCTTGAAACAGATGTTTCAGTTCCGGACTTTCAGACCCGGGAGATTGGGAAGCTGCTTTGACACTTCGCTCCAATATGCTACGGGGATGGAAGCTTAGCACCTTAGACCTCCCGCGACGGCATGAGGCCGAAAACCTTGTCCCAACATCACCCGTGCCACGCAAACCCCCTTCTACCCCCTGACCCCATCTAATCCCGCCCCTTCCATCCCTGCCGTCTCTTGGCTCGTTGGCCGCCAGCGGAACACATTGCAGTGCTGCTCGGGGGATGATGAATGCCAGCCCGACTTGGCGGCTCCAACCTCACTGTCTTTGCATGTCTTTGTTCATGGCCATAGCATGCGCATGCATGCGACACGTAATGTCACCAGAAGACGTGCACATCTGCAGATGGTTCTAAATGAGGGTACTCTTTGGATCCCCTGTTCGGTTCAGAGCAAGAGAGAGGGCGAGGCTCCCAAGGTAGGAGGCAAGCGTCTCATTCCCTCCTCTGACAGCTCATCAGGATCATTCAGGATCTGCTGGATCGCCTGCCAATCATCAACCAAAGGGCCATCTTAGAATGGCAGCTGCGCCAAATATCAGCAGAACTGAGCTTTTGAGGCTCAAGAAGGCTTAGCGCATCGCAACAGAAGGCCATTCGCCTGTGCCATGGGCTGGCCCGGCCAGCGCTGGGCAAGGGCCTCTAAGGCTCGGCGCGTCTGCAGCACAGCATCGTTCAGCTCCATGGGCCTGGGTGGTTTAACAACCGGGCACTGACGCACTTTCCAGCAGCTGCCCTTTGAAATTTGAAACACCACACTGCGCCGAAACCCATGGTTTACAAGCAGCAGGCGCTGCTCCGCTTTAGGCCCCAAGGGGTTTCGGTTGGAAGCTGGCGGTGCCAGTGTTCAGCTCAGCTTAATAAGGACGGTCTGCCTTAGAGCAAGGGCTTGGGTAGGAGCTGCAACATCGTTTGGGGTAAAGGTTTGCTTTCAATTAAGATTAACTAAGGCTTTGGAGAGGGCTTAGGGCTTACGGCGGTTTCTTGGCTTCAGGGTTTAGTGGAAGGTGGGCGTTTGAAAGGACATGGCCAGGCTGGCCTGATCTGAATCACCGATACCCGGCAACCCTCCACTGTCTGCTTGCCAACAGGAGGACAGCTGCACCGGCTGTTGCGTGGATGCCCCGCTGCGCCCTCGCTTCATCTGCCGCCCATAGGCTACAAGGGAAGAAGACCATGTCGCAGTATTCAGCTGACGGCTAGCAGCTGCGAGTACGACTTGGATCGCCAAGGCCTTCTTTAGGTGACTAGAGGCAGATAGAGGCAGGTCGAGGGTTCGGGTCCTTGGGCTACGTGATGCTGCCGTAATGCTCCTCAGCAATCCTTGCAGGCCATGCTTGCTCCATGCATCTCAACGACGGCCACACAGGAGCGGCGCAGACTTAATCTAACTAATCTAACTTGAAAAGCCCCAGCGAAGAAGCAGCAAACATGCGTGGGGAGAGGGAAAGAAGCCGAAAAGTGGGAGCCTTGACTCATGGCTCGTGACCTACTCTGTGCCGCCATAGCCCTGCCAACATTTCGATCGAAGACACCGTCGTAGGAGCCCCAGTGATGGTGAGACAACTGGCCTGCCAGTTGCCAGTGTCTTTACTGCACCGGCATTTCAGTCACCCGATGCTCCAAGCCATGTCTGCTTGCGCGTAGTCACTGAGTAGCTGGGATCATATTATCAAGACAGATCAAGACGAGTGCAAGCCGAAGAAGCGCAAGCATCCCCTCATCCCCTCCGGCATCCACTCTGGGATGCGCTGGGAGCCCTGAGCTGGAGAGACATGAGCTATGAGCTGGTCGTGGTACTTTTGAGACACCACTTTTGGAGTCAATGAAACCGAAGATGAAATCGGAGAGCTGGCAGAGGGCTGCTTGCGTGGTGGGCCGGTGGACTACAGGATCTCAAAGGCCTCCAACGAGTTCAGGGGACTGCCACCACTCTCCTGGCACTCTTCTTGCCATCGACATCTTCGATTGCCCGTGGGTTTTCCGCAGATTAAAAAAGCGGTACTGGTAGTGGTACACTGCGCTCAAGGCCGGACGAAGCTCCAACCAAAGGTGAAACCATACTTGAAACACCTCGTAACCATGCTCACCCAACTCGTGGGCGCATTGCGGACATGGGCATCAAGTCGCGGGGCTCGCACTGTGACTCACCGACGTCCTTCAAAGGCTCTCTCTCTCTCTCTCCCAAGCTGCAAACTCCAACAGAGTCCCTGCAAAGCCGAGAGGGGGAGAAGATAAGCTGAAGTTGCGTTCCCTTTCCACACTCCAACTTCCAAAAAGCGCGTTCACAGCCTGAAGGACTTGATGATGCCCAAGGAAGTGGCCTGGTTGGAGTAAGTCTCCCTTGTGGAGCTGGTCACGTGTCGCATGCGAACAGCCACAGGAATGAGAGAACCTCTCACGGACTGCCTGCATCATCGAGAGGTATCGGTTCTGGTAAGCCACACATTCTTGGAAGGAGACCTGGCTGTCGGCGGCGGACCCGACTCAGTGGAGACCCCAAACCCCAAAGGAAAGGACCCAACACCCCAAACTCGTAAACCCAATTTGATAAAGAAGAGAAGCTTGAAGCTATGGCCCACAGGCACGTGCACGGACTTTGCACCTTCCCGTCCTTGTTCTCGTCGGCACTGTCAAACTCATGGTCACAAAACCTCTCAGCATCCGGAAGCGAAACTCTTCCAGTCAAGAGTTGCCGGTCGCTCTGGGCACCCGGGCGTCTGAAAAAAATCGTTCTCCAGCTGTGTGGAATGCGCTGAAGGAAGCGTTATTCCCAAATCCTGTGGAGTTCAGAGCTCACTGCGACTTCTTCACTTGTAGTCTGTGCCATTCCAGAGTCACAGCACCCCTGGGTTCGGTAGCTACGCCCCCGCAGGAAAACTTGCGCCGTCCTTCAGGACCAACGGCATCTGGCTTCCTGGGGGCGTGTGTGGGTGTGTGTGTGTGACAACCCTTGTTCCAAAAGGAGTGATGTGAGTCTTTGCAGTGCCAGTGGGATGACTGTTGTACCATGTTGTTGCGTGTTGAAGTGAGCGTCGCCACATAATAACGGGGATATAGAGAAAGGGCATGGTGACACTCTACTGATGAGGCCCGTCGCCATAGCCTGGGGCCGAAATCCCTTGACAAGTCCTTGGGCACAGTCACGTGCAGCTGGGATTGTCGTTGAAAGTGGCATGTCGATGATTGTGGCATGTCGATCGAAGATCAGATGAAGCTCATATCGACACAACACCCCCCCAAAAACAGAGAGCTGTTGCGAAACGCGTCTGATGACCATTACTTGCCCGATGTGGCTTAGACAGATGAAGGACATGATGCTGTCTTTAGACTTGTGTGCGAAAGATGTTCGTGCCATCTTGGCTGCAATAGTGTATCCTCGGTCGCGGTTCTGTCAAAGAGGCGGCTGTGATGCAGTGCGTCCAAGCATTGCCATTCGGATGTTTCTTCTGAGTGTGTTTATGCGTTGACATTGCCATGTGCTGGCTTTGACCTTTGAGTGAACCCTTGAAATGCTCACCTGGAGCTTGATGGCTTTATGTGCAGAAAGGGTTCTCCTACGAAGAGCGCGCGAAAGTTCTGGAAAAAAGGCCGAACCTGCTGCTTGAATTCAGCCTGGAATGGCTGGGTGTGTGTGACAACCCTTGTTCCAAAAGGAGTGATGTGAGTCTTTGCAGTGCCAGTGGGATGACTGTTGTACCATGTTGTTGCGTGTTGAAGTGAGCGTCGCCACATAATAACGGGGATATAGAGAAAGGGCATGGTGACACTCTACTGATGAGGCCCGTCGCCATAGCCTGGGGCCGAAATCCCTTGACAAGTCCTTGGGCACAGTCACGTGCAGCTGGGATTGTCGTTGAAAGTGGCATGTCGATGATTGTGGCATGTCGATCGAAGATCAGATGAAGCTCATATCGACACAACACCCCCCCAAAAACAGAGAGCTGTTGCGAAACGCGTCTGATGACCATTACTTGCCCGATGTGGCTTAGACAGATGAAGGACATGATGCTGTCTTTAGACTTGTGTGCGAAAGATGTTCGTGCCATCTTGGCTGCAATAGTGTGTGTGTTCATTACGATTTCATTACGCGGGGCAGCCACAGCTCTGCCCCGAAGGGACTGTTTCAACGTGACAAGACGAGAAGACTTGAGAGCACTGGCACACTGCACTCTCCAAGCAAGCCTAAGCTCCAAGCGACTCAGATACAGGTGTCCGTTCGTGTACCTGTGCACTTTCAATGGCCGCACTGCCACAAGGACGTCATACAGCGATAACATGTGGCAAGCTCTGACCGCTTGCTGAACAAAGGCTTCTGAGCAAAGTTCTCGAGGTCTCTCGGGCCATACTACCAGCGCTCAGCAGCTGTCACTGGGCAACACAACGGTTCCTGGCCTGTAGAACGCTGCTCTCAGGGCATCCTGGCCATGGCGCCATCACCAACGGCGCCATCACCAACGACTTGCGTGGAGCAATTGAAACCCCTGCCTCGTTGTCCAGCACCTCCTTGAAAAGGCCTTTGCTTGGCCCTGGAAGCTTCATGCTCCTTGGAGGGTGCACTTGCGGATGCTTCTTGTCTCCCCGAACGTTGGAGTTGGCAAGCGACGCCCTCTAAGGACACCGGATGCATCTTCCCCCAAACTCGGCTCCTCAGGGCTTACTTCATGTCAAAAACCCTAAATTCCTGCAAAACTTCCTGAAGTCCCAAGTGCCCATGATCATGGGGCGCTAAACCGCCCAACAACCCGGGAAGCCATTGTCAGGTTTGAGGCACACACGGGAGCTGTCGCAGCGCACCCCTCGGAGCGATTCGAGGAGTTAGGAATGGGAAACAAAGCAGGCGAGGACCTTATGATAGCCAACTCTATGCGCCGACCGACCAGTAGGCGCCTCAAGAATTTGAGAAACCGGTCAGAAAAGAAACGGAGGCCCCAAGCTGTCTCTCGGGCTAAAGGACTGCACCCCGTCTGAGTATCATTGCGTCATGTCAATGTCATTCAATGTCAATGCTGAGCTCCGGGCTTGGACTTCGGCGTAGGTGAAAGACCAACGTGCAGCCTCTCAGCTTGTTCGTGCTGCGCGCCGCTGCTACGGAGAATCCAAGCATATCCAAGCTACCGAAGGCTTCCCACGGCAGCATATTCAGCCATATATGCGTTTCGCATATCGCTCAGACTCTGTGCCCATCAAACCCAAGGCCAGAACTGACCGGTGCTGTCTGCACCTGCCTGAGAAAGCACAGGGAGTTATGGAGGAGTGGAGGATTCGATTCAAGGCACTTGCACATCGCCCATGACAGAGTCTCTCTATGTACTTGTAACGTGCAAGAGATGGCAAGAGGACGGCACCCGCCAACCGGGACATCTGGGATGCAAAATCTAAGCCCCAGCCTCTGGGCAGCCAGCAAAGCGGCGCACTGAAGGCGGTTGGTTGACCCAAACTGCCTGGACGAGCAAACAGCACTACACGACCATGCAACATGCAAGGAATGAGCGCGTAGATTGGTACAGCAGCTGCCAGCAGGGTGTCTGAAGCCTCTTGCAAGACTCTGCCGCGCCTGGTGAAACTTTACAAACGCTTCCAGAGACAAGCTTTCACAACCTTAGGAAGCAGACTCTCCATCTGGGCACCCATCCCCATGGGAAAACTCCTCTCCAACCTGACCTTCATACCGGCAGGGTACCCGGCTTCAGTCTTCTACGGTCTCTCTCCCCGACTGCAAGCGTTTATAAAGTTTAGAAGTCTAAGACCGGAGCCCTTCGGAAGAATCCTGCCAGAATGCCATGAACTTACTTGCTGTTTGACAGCAGTTTCTGTATCCTGACCCAGCAACATGCAGGACAGCATGTGGGAAGAGAGGGCAAGAGCAATCCCACACATAGATCACTTGCTGCACAGGTCGCACATGCACCTCTCCCCACAGTTTCAGGCAACCAAGGCAGGAGTACTGACTTTTGTACTTTGCAAAGGTCTCATCATCCAGGGCCATGTTCCTTGCTCATATCTGCTCGCATTAGGGTGCTAAACAACATAAGTAGGCTAACGGCAAAGACTACTTGACAACTCGGAGAATTGATAATTTAGATAAACTTAGCTTACAAGAAGAGGATACCAAAAATGGGACGCCTGAGGAAAGGCTCGACGCCGCTTGTGGACCGAAAGGTGGCCATGCGTGCGCTGGGAATGCGCATCGCTTCAAGACAAAGTGCGTCCACACCGGACATCACAGGGACCACAAACTGAGGCAACTGGCATCTTGGCGAAAGATGCCTGCAGGTCTTCCACACCGACCTGCCCGAACACAGAGATACAGGGGGGGCATCGTGAACCAGGGGGGATCGTGAACTTTGATGTGTAGGACTACGAACGTCCATGCCGCAGACCTCACCGAGGTTCTTTGGATCCAGCTCCTTGAAAAGGTCATGGACTCTGGACTTGTGCCACTCCTGCGCGAAGTCTACCAAGTCTGGTGTGAAAGGAGGGCAAAATCATGCAAAGACCCTTAGGAGTGCGTCGCAAAGTTGGAGTGTCCGAGCCACCATGACCAGTCCGAGCAGTTTTGCTTCAATGCTTCTGGCGAAGGCAAGTGGGGTAACCTGAGGCCTGTGCCCGACAGTATAAGAAATTCCCATGGGCCCCAGACATAGGAGTCCCTGGCATACGAAAATCGTGCGACAGGGTGGCTACCTTTGCAACACCCGCGCTTTTTTCCACTACTTGTCCATGCTCCTGCATCTCATCCTCAGCTTTTGGCCGTTTTGAGTCCGGTTGTTGCTCCAGTTGTTGCTCCATACTTTCTGAGCGTGAGCTCGCTGGGTCACATCGTCCCCGGGTGACCAGACGAATTCCCAGGCCTCGATTCAACTTACAGGAGGCCTGAATGTGTAGTGAGATTCTGAGGGAATCGAAACAGCTTGGCGACTCCGCGCCCCTTCAGTGACCACAAAGCTGTGCCAAAATTCGCCTCCCATGGTCCATCCTCATCCTTTCCTAGCTTCAAGACCGCATGCTAGACTGGAGCCCTAGTAGATGTCGTCAGCAGTGCGCTGTTCAGCTACTCCCCGCAAGGCCATGGTGTCTTTGAAATCCGAACTGTGTCCTCGGACTTGCCAGGAGGCGGCGGCTTCACCCTCGCCATGCATCAAGATTTGGCATGACAGAGCTCGCCTAAAACTCGGCCACGTAGGCTAGCGCACAACACACGTTTTGAGCACAAGGTAGTCCCAGTACTGCTCAAGCACAGCTGAGCGATCCGACTTGCACTTTGATCTGCCCTTGCAGCTTAGCCGACCCCCGGCCTCGAAGAGGTGGAAAGCCGCCGAGGTGCACGCACCAGAGGGGGAGCAGTGGAGTCCTGGACGCAGCTACCAGCTCTTGATAGAATTTGTCTTTATTTATTATATGATATTGTTGACTTGGCATTGATAAACCCCCTGCAAGTAGACAACCCAAGTCCCAGAAGTCGATCATAACCCCCTCCTTCAGTTAAAAGCCCAAAATCCCCAGGGACGAGTTTGACTATCAGGGTTCCTTTTCAAGAAGAGGCCAGGCCTTTAGAAAACAAGTCCCCCCCCCCCCGGAACAAGACTACGACCTCTTTAAGCCCAAACCTTCTGCAATTGTATTTTCGGGCCCCTGCCAGAGAGATCAATCAAGGGGGAGGGGGGAGAGGGGGGGTTATCAATGGCACGTGTATCCCGTGTCACTCCGTGGTCACTGCATGCCCTGCTTTTGCTTTGAGTGATCTCGACACGGTGATCACCGACCCCCTGAAAATGCCTGAATTGCCGCCGTCAGCGCGCTGGGCCGCCTCTTTGCCTGCGTTTGCAGAGATGCGGAAGCGGCATGGCGCTATCGGAGATATCGGCTCCAACACCTCTTCCCCAAGGATTCCAAAGATCACCACAATCGCAGCACAAATTCCTAAGTGTCCCCCTGAAACCCAACTTCATCCCGATGACCGACAGGTGCAGATGTTTGCTTGTTCTTGAGCGATGCCACTTAATTATGTCCTACAGCCAAAGAAACCACTCCAGACTCCAGAAAACCCAACCCCCAACTAAACGCTAAGACCCGAGCTGCAAATCACAAGCACCAGAACACCCTCAAACTCAAACCCCCGAAAAAACCCAAAACCTCAATCCCAAACCCCAAAAAGGCCAATGCCTTGAGCGACTCGAGCCGCTCCGTGCGCCGCGCCAGATCTTGAGCAGCAAGGCGGTCCTGACGAAGCGGGTCCAGGTGTTGGTTCAACCCAGCCACTGAACCTGCCAGAACCCTACAACCCAGTTCAGCACAGACAGAGTCCTTGTTAAAGTCCCGGAGGGCCACCGACCCAGCGCAGGTCAGGCGCCCCTGCCGATTTTGGAGGGGCGTTCAACGAAGACGTGTTGCAAGAGTTTGCACCGAGCCACCGGCCTTACCAGGCTGATGGAGGCTGGAATCTGATGCAGGCCTGGCCGAGAGCCAAGAGCAGAGATGCGCAGAGCAGCACTCCTCAACACCTTCGTGTCCGCTTTTCGCCCGTCCCGAGCCGGCCTGTGCATAGGCATCCCAGGAGCAAACGGCCCACGGGTCAGCAGCTAGATTATTTGCTTTCCGGCTTGAAAAAGTCTTGGGTCCCGTGTGACGTGGTTGGAGTTTCCGAGTTTCCCTTCACCCGTATCACACTTCTGGCATCTTCAGGCATCTTCAGGCCGAAGCCAAGTCTTCCCTCTTCGAGCAACCCCCCCACTCTCCCTGCAGAGCCCAATGCTGGCAGACCAGGGCGATGCACATCTGAGGGGTCTTTGCCAAGGTCATCAGAGCAAGAAAGATCCTCAGCAAAGGCCTTCCTTCTCGGTGGAAGCAGAGGGATCACCAGTGCAATCCGCCCCAGTTTTGCATCAATGCGTTCATGCAGAATTTAGGTTCATCGGGGTCATGCAAGCGAAACGCACGGCTGCAGGCGACAGGTCCTGGACACCAGCATACATCGCATGTGCAAAGTCGCCCTCGTGAAAGCCTACGCGCCACTGCACAGCATGTCGATCTGGTCTACTCTAGATACTCTAGTACCCCGAGCGTTCGATTGAGCAAAGGCAAGCAAGCAGCCATGCCGCCAAGAGGCACTGCAGTCCCCTTGAGCTTCAGCATCCGTCAGCTCTCCTGTCAACTGCCCCATACAGTTAGCCGCAATGCACTAGCAAAGTACAAGCAGTGATCCACAGTGGCATGTACGGAAGCACCTCTGTGCTCAATTTTGGAATGAGCTTTTGTACTACACATGTTGTCTAAGGCGGTCACGATTTATGGGAATGCTGCGTGCAGCTCGCACGCATGAGCCCGGCACACTTTCAAACAACTGTGGGTAGTACCTGCTAATGTTAACCTGCCTTTTATAAACCCCCCCCCGTAATTAAAGAATTCGGATCCCGGAACTCAATTATAAACCCCCCCTCAAGAAATCCCGGCCCGGGGACCGAGGTTTTTTCTACATGCCCTTTTAGGTAGGTCAGGGCTTGGGGGCGGCTCGGGACATCCCGTCCCCCCCCCCCCCCCCTGCATAGGCGGGGCGGCCGGAAACAAGAATCAATTGAGACACGGGGGGGGGGGTTATTAACAGGAGGTCAACATTAAGTCAGCCCGACAACATCCGAGCGCCGCACCTTTGCCTGGGGCATCTCGGCATCCTGCCACGCACAAGGCATGTAGTGGCTGCGTCTTGCGGGGACCCGCAGGCAGAGCTTGCCATCGTAAGCAAAGCCCGTCTCTTATCCATCCAAGAAGTCTCGTGCCAGCGACCAGGTGGTGAAGTCACGAGTATGTGCTTACTTCCATGTGCCTCTTCATGCACCTCGGAGAACATGAACTCCTGCTGATACCTGTCACGGGCTGTCACTCTTGGGCGGGTCGGCTTATGTCGGCTTGCTAGCAAAGCTCGACTCAAGTCCGTTCTCGGCTTTCCCATGTGACTCTGGCGGAGAAGGTCTGCATTGCGAGGGCACTCCATCAGGAACTGTGCGGACCGCTTGACATCGACGAAGAGCGAATAGACCTGCTGCATGTCGAACGAAAAGGCTGCGATGACCCTGCAGAGTAACGCATGCTGAAGGTGCTGGTACTTCCCGCCTTGCGGATGTCCTGAACGTCAACCTCCTGTGCCTTGCAACGCAGACAAGTGTGGCAACTCTGGTGATGTCAAGGAGCGCCGGAAGGGTAACGGTGCAAGATGGTGCAAGAGACGGATTGCACAGTCTGCTGCAACAAGTCGGATCATTCGGATCTGAGAATACACTGACAGGTGTAGCAAGTCTGCAAGTGCCAACTCTAGAACTGCAAATGGGATCGTCGAGACAAGCCTTCCGCTTCATGGCAACAAGATTGGAGCAGGTGATCAAGTGAATTGCGTACCTCAGTTGGACTTCCCACATGGCCATGATTTGACTGAAATTGTGGGCTTCGAGGGTCAAACTGAATGCGGATCCTTCCACCGGTTGCTTTCCATTTGAGGCTCGAGCCGCAGCGTGCTCTCCGTGCCGATCTTCGTGAGAAGCTCCTGGCACTTGACATGTACAACTTGAAGGCGGGCCAAAAAAAGCCAATGGAATGCATGCAATCGCTCAAAACAAGCGCACCTTAACACGCTAGCAACTAACCCTCCCAGCCAAGTGATAGTAGAGGCCTTGGAGGGTCACCCCGCATAATTATCAGGCCATTCATTCGGATTTTCTCCGGCTTTGTCCGTCCGTTGCATTCTTGATTGGGCCCTTGTCTTGAGAGACTGAAACCCAAGAGTGTGCTGTTGGGAAGTAAATTTCCAACAGCGCTCCTAGAACTCTCGTGACTACAGTAGGGCACACTGCTTTCGACCAAATTGTTTAGCCAGCACTATGCAGGCTACCAAGACCTAGGCTTGGAGCCTTGGCTTCTTCAGTCATCTCCACATCCTCTTCCTTCGCCAGGGAGCTCAGGTTGGATGCGGTCAAGATGACTGTTAGATGTCACGAGATGCGAACTCCGTTTCCCCACTAAGCCTCGCATGGCAGTGTCCCAACCCAAGCGAGCTTTCATCCGTATGCATTGTCGATCTAATCTACCTTTCTTACCTTTCTCGCCACAGGGGCGCGGCCCTTTTTCAGCGTAATGCGCTGCGTCTTCGTCACCTCACGTCAGCCATCTTCGACGGCTGAGTCACCGATCCCAACTGTCTAAGCCGAGTCTGCCCCATGACCGCAACTCTGAGCTGGGCAGCAGATGCCCGGCCCAAGCGTAGGGTCTTCCAGGTCTTCCGCTTGGGGCAGGTCTCTTAGACGAAGCTGTGGACAAAGCTGCGCAGCTCCGGGACATTGTTTACCAATTGCACTCTGGCTTGTGATGGGGGACGGCATGAAATTCTGGAACTCCTATGCAACTCTCGACAACCTGCTGAAGAAGACAGAGCCTATTCCAGCCGCTCACAGCTGCAACGTTTCTGAAAACGTGTTGCCTAGTCCCCTGTTTTCGCGCTGAGCAAACCTGAGGAAGTCTATTGTCAGCTTGGACTTGCCAAGTTTGACTGGGCGGTGACACGAAGACTCATCCAGCGCTGTGGGTCCTGTATCTTTGAGTATTCGGGCTACATGGCGCATGATCTGAAGTCAGCTGTCGAGATGACGACTTGGGCAGCATCGGCTTCATCGCTGCATCGCTGGATGATCTAGATCTCACGGGCGCACTGGTGCTGTGGATGGCAAGATATCCAGTTTATGGGGCCGTGCCTCTCAAGGTGAGGGAGGCTGCACTCATGTAACCGCTGGTATCGGTTTAAGACATCTCCTATGGAGCCATCCTCAGTACTAGGGGGCAGTTTCGCCACCGAACATGACCTTGAGCGGGCCCCCGGAAATGCATGGCGGCATGGCTCTGGAGCAAGTGGGTGCCAGGGAATGGGTTCAGTAGGCAGGGCTTAAAGCAAGAAGGCTCTTTCAGTGGGGTTTCTCCTTCCTTGCACTTGCATCCTCGAGTCTTCCATAC